CCCCAAAACCCCAAAACCCCAAAACCCCAAAACCCCAATTGGATGATATATTATTGAAAGCTCTAGAATATTAATCGTCATATTCGTTAATGTCCGGGTATCCTTCCTTTCCATAAGTAATCTTATTTGGGAGCACAAACTGGACCAAACACTGTGGGTGGAATGCTGAACTATCTGGACCTCTGCAGTAGATTCCTTTAAAAGTCTTATCGATGCATTTCTCACGATCAGTCGAGCTGTAGCGTATGTCTGTCTGAGCAATGGGAGATGGGTCTTCTAAAGGACTTAGACAGACTGAACAAGTCGGTAAGTTTGCTTTAGAGGATTTTGGGTAGTCTTGTGTAATCAATCTTGTGTAATCATACATAAGGGTACGATATTTCCCAGGAAGAAAGAATCTACTTCCTTTAATAGACTGGAGATAACTGATAAACACAAAAGAGAAGTAGATCATTCAAGGGAGCAAGAAATGAATTGGTTCAAAGTTGATACCGAATTGATCAAGAAATAGGTTAGTGCATGGGGTGGTAGGTCTCCAGAAGAAGTAGAAAGCATAATAGTTTATTGGGAATGACATTAGGTAGAAATTTATCAATACTGAAATAATATTTGATTGATGTCTTGATTTGGCTAAGAACTTCTCAATGATAAACACTCCGTATAATCAACACTTGGCATAGTAAATCTCTGAATAATACTTCTCAAAAATTAGATAAGTTAAGAATTGTTTATGTTCACAGATAAGAATAAGGGCCAAAAATCCGAAGATTAATGTAACCATAAAACCCAATAAGTTAAAACTTTTATTTATGGTTTTAAGATGGCCTTGAATTTTATTGGGATTTGGAATCGAAAATACAGTACTCAAGAAAAACATAAATAACACTTTAAGAGAATCTGTAATAAGAGCTATGGTCATAAATAGACTTGAAACACTTTTTGTATAAAGCATACTGAGTAGCCACATAACTAAAATAGATTGCCAATAGCTTTGAGTGATAATGCTGTTTACCTTAAGGCCAATAATCAACATACTAATGACTGTCAAACTATTACTAAAAGCTCTGAATGTCTTTCTGATCAAACTGTATCTTCGAGTGTCCTATAAATATGATAATGATCAGAAGCAATGACTTTGATAAATTGATCCTTGACATGCACAGAAATTATTAATAAGTGTGTTTAATATGTAGAAGAAATAGAAACCGTATTATTGAGGATATTAAAATTTTCAAGGACCCAACTAAAATTGTCAAAAGATAGATACCCACAAAAAGCTATAGAAAGCTAAAACTCATGTACTTGATATTATTTAAAGTGGGAAAGCATTTACTTAAATAAATAATACTCCTAAAAGCTCATTTTCTGGTATTTTTCATAATATAAACATTGCATCATAGTGAACACTTACATATTTATATCTATCTGAGATATTTTTAACGTTCAATATTTGGATAAATGAATTAAAACTTGGGCTTCTAATGAAATTTCTTGGATAGTTTGGAATTAAAGCAATTCATATCCAGATAAATGAGAAATAGAATAAAGACGTGTAATTCATTATTTCTCCTTCTGCAATACTCAGAATAATATCAGCACGAGCAGGATCAACGTTTTCATATGTCTCGTAATCATATACAGTAAGATTTAGCTTTGTACCAATCTTAGAGTATACCTTGCTATCTAATACTCTCTGGCCCTTCATCACTAATTTAAGGTTACTATTTAGAACAACAGGAATAGTCAAGTTTTTAAAACTGACAAAGCCTTCTGTCTTTTCCATCTCGACAGATGCATGCATAACTTCTTTACTTAGAGAGGATGAATTTATGGCATGGTATGATTCTCCATAAGTGCATCCTTTTTCAGATCATTTTGAGACAACTATCAATGGATCATTTCTCCACCAATATTGATCGTTTGAATAGATGTGATGAGAAAGAAACCTCTCAGTCTTGCCATCTGTGCTATTCTTTTGGTAAAACTCAGACTTTATAGTAACTCTCTGACCAATGAAAGTCTTGATCATTTCGAATAATTTTGATTTGATAAATCCAGAGCCTTCATATTGATCAAAATTGTAAGACAGGAACGAAGGATGGTCTATTTCTGATGTCAAAAGATCTTCACTTTCATCCTTCATTAAAATTTCATTCACTAGATCAGTATACTTGAACCTTGTGTTTCAATGGAAATCTATTTCAGAATCATCTGATGTGAAAAGCGTATCATAAAGGTGAGATGTGAATCTTGTAGTGAAACTATAAGAATAAAATTAGATAAGATTTTAAGCCTTGAAAGAAGAGACTTAACAGATAGTTATATTTATTTTTAAACATTCCTACTGATATAAGCTTGCAAAGAACTTTAAAAGACTCACTCTAGATGCTTGGCATTGTGGAATCTGATAGATTTCAGGCTTATGTCTTCTCTATTACACATTTCAGGCTCAACTTGGGTTATCCAGAACTGAAGGCCATAATAGTGATAATAAAGTATGCAGAGAAATATAAAAGCAAGATAAACCTTAGAGGTTGCTCTCACAAATGGCATAACAAATGGCATCTTTAAAAATATTTTTATTTTCAATATTATCGGAGGATTTAGGGGTTTTGGGGTTTTGGGGTTTTGGGGTTTTGGGG